ATCATGATTATAAATTCAAATCTTCTAACTTTTGATCTTTGTAGCACTAACCGATGGCATATTTTGATTACGGAATAAAAAATTCATGGCGACACTGAAGTTGAAATTACCCAATTATATACATTAATTTTAGTTTCATCCATCAGCGCCATAATCAAAAATCATTAAAAAGCGATTTTTTACCATCCTATCATAATCCCGATAAAAAAATCCCGACAGCTAAAATCCCGACAGTCAAAAATCCAGACAGTTAAAATTCCGACGATTAAAACCCTGATAAAAAATATTATAGGACCATTGCAAACTCTATCTTAACCCTTATCTAAAGTGGCCTAACCCTAAAGTTAATTAAATTATGAGTCGATTTCGCTTTAAACATATCCCATGGGATTTTTTTTTACCTAAAAATTCTGACTGTTGGGATTTTTAATTGTCGGGATTTTGACTGTCGGGATTTTTTTGTCGGGATTATGATCTGTCGGGATTCTGTCTGTCGGGATTTTGACCCGCACCCCGTATTTCATACCCTATTTAACTTAATGATAAGCTCGTTTGGTCGATTAAAAATGTTTTCCCCTAACTAAAATTTAATTCCCAACACATTTTCGACTCATTGGTTGAGGCACTTGAGAACGCCCAAAATCGAACTTCACTGATATTTTAGAAAGTTAAATTAGGGTACATATAATATGTAAAAAAGGTCGAAAAACTAAACGGAATACATATTTTTGTGATTGATAGGATTCTCCTTTTATATCGATATGTGTATCGACATTTTTACATCCAATCAAAACAAATTTGACCTGTGTCATCTTTAAAATTGATTATCGTTATCCTATCGCTATCACTGCCAGAAGAATGCTGTGTCTTTATGTATGGGGTTCTCGTTGGGGACTTCCCTCTATTGATCCTGCATGTTTATCGGTCATTTCGTACTTACAACTTGTTTCTGACGAATGGAAAGTCATTGAATGCAGTAACCCAAATGTTTCGCCAACAGGTAATATTCGCATTTCCTATAAAAAGCATAAAAACTATCTTATTAACCTTGAGAACATTGTAGGTGAACTTCCTGTATTAAGAGATGGTCTGAAGTGGATCACAGGTGTTCATAATATAATAAATTATCTAAAGAAAAATGTATGTATCCATTTACCTAATAGTTTTTCCCAATTTTTTTTCCCAATTTTTTTTGAATTTTAAAATAAAGTTTCATTA